AATAAGTAGGTGGTCAAGACTCTTAAACTCTGGACAACAAACAAACCTAAAACTTCACAAATAAAATAAAATCTAATTAAATTGAAACACATTACTTATAGTAATGAACCTTCAGGGAAATATCATTCAGCTCAGCACCTGAGCCTTATAGCCTCTTTTGATTGAGCTAGCAAAGCACCAGCAGATCTATTGAGCAATTAGCTAAGGCAGCGAACGGTAACCAAAACACAGAGGAGAGGCATCCGTAGGGTGGGGGGGGGGGGGGGTTTATGCTGTGAAATGCTGGCAACGTTATTGTCACGATCTGTCTTTATGGTGTTTTGTCTTGTCTAGATCTGTTTTTGGTTTTCTGTCTGCGTTGTGTCTTGTCTAGATCTGTCTTTGGTTTTCTGTCTGCGTTGTGTTTTGTCTTGTTTAGATCTGTCTGTGGTTCCCTGTCGTTAGTTTTCCTGGTGTGTCTGATTACCCGATTGTGTTCACCTGTGGCCCCTGTGTTTTCTCCTCCCTCCTCACCTGTGTCTTGTTTGTGTGTTTAGTCTTGTGTGTATTTAAGTTCTGGTTTTTCTGTCTGTCTTTGTCGGTTCGTCTTTTGTCATGACTAGTTTGTCGGTGAGTGTTCTGTTCTGTCTTTGTTAGTTTAGCCTTGAAATAAAGGAATTTTCACGTTAATCTGCATTTGGGTCCTACCTGCTTCACACACCGTAACATTACGAACCGACCCACAAATGGACCCAGCAGATGATCCATGGGAGGTAGAATTACAGCATTTTACCTTTTATCTGGCTTGCTGCTTCGATTGGTGGAAGGGAGCGTCCAGTAGAAGAGGGCCGCTCTGGTAGAGGCGCACCGGTTGGCAGCAGATAAACTATGTTTTGTGGAGTTCTTACCTGACTGGATTTTGGACTTCCTTGAAACATGTGATTCCCGGCCTGCTAGCCCCAGGCATGCTAACTCCATGTCTCCCAATTCCCAACCTGGCACCATACGCCTTGGTGGGTTCCGCCTGAAGTCAACCTGTGCTTCTGCCTCAGTTCCTGCTCCTGTCCAGGAGTTGTATTCCGGAACTCGTCTGGCTTATGGAGGTCCACGGAGTATTCAGGCGGCTGCTAAGAGGAGTCGTCGCAAGGCCAGGCTAGCAGCCCGAGCCCCAGCAGCCATGGTTCCGGCTACAGAACCGGCCCACACAGCCATGATTCCGGCCCCAGTTCTGGCCCCAGCAGCCATGGTTCCGGCTTCAGTACCGGCCCCAGAAGCCATGGGCTCGACTCCAGTTTCGGCTACAGGGCTGGCTCCCCAGCCGACGCCAGCTCTCCGAGTCTTGTCGGCGTACCGGCCGACTCCAGCACCTCGTCTCCTGCTGGCTCCCCAGCCGACGCCAGCTCCCCGAGTCTTGTCGGCGTACCGGCCGACTCCAGCACCTCGTCTCCTGCTGGCTCCCCAGACGACGCCAGCTCCCCGTGTCCTGTCGGCGTACCGACCGACACAAGTCACCTCTCAAGTCCCCTCTCAAGTTTCCCCTCTAGTCTCCTCTCGAGTCCTCTCTCAAGTTCCCTCTCTAGTCACCTCTCGAGTCCCCTTTCAAGTCACCTCTCAAGACCCCTCTCAAGTCCTATCTCAAGTTCCCTCTCAAGGCTCCTCTCCAGTTCCCTCTCAAGTCTCCTCTCGACCTACCTCTCAAGTCCCCTCCCGAGTCCCCTTTCAAGACACTTCTCAAGTCACCTCTCTAGTCCATCCTCTGGTCCCTTCCCGAGTCCCTCCTCTGGTCCCTTCCCGAGTCCCTCCTCTGGTCCCTTCCCGAGTCCCTCCTCTAGTCCCTTCTCTAGTCCCTTCTCTAGTCCCCTCTCCAGTTCCCTCTCCAGTCCTCTCTCCAGTTCCCTCTCGAGTCCTCTCTCAAGTTCCCTCTCAAGTCCCCTCTCAAGTCTCTACCCGAGTCCCCTCTCAAGTTTCCTCTCTAGTCTCCTCTCAAGTTCCTTCTCAGGTCCCCTTTCGAGTCTCTTCTCGAGTCTCCTCTCAAGTTCCCTCTCAAGTCTCCTCTCGAGTTCCCTCTCAAGTCTCCTCTCGAGTTCCCTCTCAGGTCCCCTCTCGAGTCCCCTCTCGAGTTCCCTCTCAGGTCCCCTCTCGAGTCCCCTCTCGAGTACCCTCTCGAGTCTCCTCTCGAGTTCCCTCTCAAGTCACCTCTCGAGTCTCCTCTCGAGTTCCCTCTCAAGCCCTCTCTCTCGAGTCCCCTCTCGAGTTTCCTTTCGGGTCCCCTCTCAAGTCACCTCTCGAGTTCCGTTTCTTTAAACGGAAGAAAAAGCCCAGTTTAGGTCTAAGTTTTCTCAGTAGGTTCCCAATATGAACATCAAAGGCCATCTTTTCATCAATCCATATGCCCAGATATTTGTAGGATGCTACTTTGTCAAGGCATGTCCCTTCCAGTGTCAGAATCGGAGGGACAGCTGTATTAGCTCGAGAGCGAGAGAAGGTCATGTACTTGGTCTTTTTTGCATTAAGGACCAGTCTTAGCCTTAGCAAGGAGTGTTGCAGTGTATTAAAAGCATCCTGTAGAAGCTCTATGGCCTGGGTTAAAGAGGAAGCCACTGTGTAAACAACTGTATCATCGGCGTATAAATGAAACCGTGCTGGGTTTATCCCATTTCCTAGTTCATTTATAAAGATGGAGAATAAGACAGGGGCCAAAATAGAACCTTGTGGAACACCTTTGTTTACAGTAAGAGCAGCTGAGGTATAATCTTCTACTGAGACACACTGAGTTCTTTCAGATAGTTTTTAAACCAGCTCAAAGCCATTTTGCCAAGACCTATGCAGCCAAGCCTCTGCAGTAGCAATGCATGATCCACAGAATCAAAAGCTTTAGACAGATCAACAAACAATGCTGCACAGTGTTTTTTCTTGTCTAGTGCTTCAATTATGTCATTTGAGACTAGCATAGCCGCTGAAGTAGTACTATGGCCTGATCTGAAGCCTGACTGAGACTCGTTAAGAATATTATGGTCAGTTAGAAACTTTTTCAGTTGTTCGTTTACAAGAGATTCAAAGACTTTGGCCATTACAGACAGTCTGGAAATAGGGCGATAATTATTTAGGTCAGAGGGGTCTCCGCCCTTTAACAAGGGGAGAACCATGGCCGACTTCCAGGAGCAAGGCAATTCACCAGCACAAAGACTGAGATTCAAAATAGAGGTTATGGGTTCTGCAATCAGACCTGCAGCAACTTTGAAGAAGAACGGCTCTATCTTGTCTGGGCCTGAAGATTTATTTACATCTAGGCTCATTAAAGCTTTGTGAACCTGAGAGGTCAAGATGGGGGCAAAGGTGAACAGTTGATCAGGGTCAAGTGGCGGAGGACCTGGCTCTCCTTCTGCAGCAATCATCCCTGAGTTGCTAGAATCAAAGATTGAGCCAGCAGAAATAAAATAATTATTAAAGCTGTCTGCAATATCCATTTTGCCCTTGATTTCACTCTGATTTACCCTTAAGAGATCATGAAGGCTGTTTGGAGTGATAGAACCTGAGGAGGATTTAACAAGTTTCCAAAACTTTGCAGGGTTATTCAAATTGTCATGTATTGCATTAAGATAGTAGGCACATTTAGAGTCTTTAATCAGCTTAGTGCATTTGTTTCTTAATGTCCTATACAGATTCCAATCTAATGGAATATTCGATTTCTTTGCTTTAGCCCAGGCAGTGTCTCTCTGTCGAATGAGAGAGGATATAGAATCATTAAACCAGGGGTTGTCTTTACCGCTTATCCTAGATGTCCTAAAAGGAGCATGCTTGTCACATATAGCCAAGAAGGTGGATTTAAAATAATTCCATGCTAACTCAACATCGGTCATAAGTGAAACAATGTGTAAATCACTATTAAAAACATCATGTAGAAACGCCTGCTCATCGAAATGTTTGAATTGTGTGTATTTAAGTTCTGGTTTTTCTGTCTGTCTTTGTCGGTTCGTCTTGTGTCATGACTAGTTCGTCGGTGAGTGTTCTGTTCTGTCTTTGTGAGTATAGCCTTGAAATAAAGGAATGTTCACGTTAATCTGCATTTGGGTCCTACCTGCTTCACACACCGTAACAGTTATGCTACAATGTGCGGTGCAACCGCTTTGTGAGATGATATATTCTAAAGTGCTATAATCATCTCAGGGGAGGATTAGAAAACAATGTAAAATGCTCACTTACTCTACTAACTTTAAATGATCACTTTCTTGTATGATTCATTATAGTCGTAAACAGGTTTATTTGTGATTTGTTATTTGGGGGATTCTGTGTTTGGGGGGGGGGCAGTGTATTATTCTAAGAAACTACATGTACTCACTGATTATTACACATACGGTAATCCTGTTAAGGCTAAAATGATTAACAAACTTATCACAATCGATTCTGATTGGCCAATTTGGACATATTTTGGACATTTCAGAGTTTGTTAATACTCACTAACAAACTGCAATGCTTCGCAACCTGCTACATGATCAATCTACCGGGTGTGCATTTTACATCGATGACCACATTATCCTTTACTTATTCTCCTAAATTTTTGTGTGAGTGATCAAATATTTCAATTGCCCTTTCACACTAAATAAACTGAGCACTGCTTTCACTTCCATGTTGTCCTAAAACCTGATAAGGGCTCTATCACAAGTAGATCAAATAAGTCATTACATTACATTACTGCAATATTAATTGCTATTTAAATACAAAAAAAAAACACAGGAAGAATGACAGAAAATGCAACCTAAATGTTGCTGTTAAAAGTGAAATGCACTGATCTTACAAATATTTCAGAAAGTGCTTTGATATGAAGCAGTGTTATCCATGAGCACAGCATGCACTTTGAACGCATTTTTGGGAAACATATACATTGTTTAGGATATGTGAGGCTGATAACAGCGTAGGCCTGTGTGCCGGATTTGAATTGAACCCATGCTGTACACAAATGCTTGTATTCTCTTAAATGTAATGTTCAGTTTAACTTGTTTCACTTTTTAATCAACATGCAGGTAACAGGTTCAGTGCTTGAGAGTCTGATAGCCCAACGGAATGAATACTGGGAGAACTGCAACAGAACTCTTACAACAAGCGCACCCTCAGAAGCTGGTGAGATGCTGCTATATTGTTAGTGTCTCCTTGATTGTTATTACTTTAATGAATACTTGAATATTCTCTTTTTACAGGAACCTACTGTAAAGGAACGTTTGACACTTTTGTGTGTTGGCCCCACTCTTCTCCGGGGAACGTGTCAGTCCCCTGTCCTTCTTACTTACCATGGATCAGCGAGGGTAATGTTCTATAGCAACTACTGTATAAGGTCACACGTTATAAATAAATGTCATTGAAGCTTATTTCGTGAATGGCTCCTTTTACTATTTTTGACTTCCTTTGGTAATTCATTATTATAAGTGAATCAATCACTGGCTGAATCACAAGACAAACTGTAAGGTTTCTCACAGGAAGTCTTTGTGCAGTTGAATGTGTAATCAATGCACAGTTATGCTTTAAATGTCAATCAGCAGTCTACCATAGGTCAGCTGCAGTTTTGTTTTTAGCCACACTCAACACAGCAGACACTTCTTTCAATTCAATTCAAAACTTTTATTTATCCAGGTGAAATCCCATTGAGATCATTGATCTCTTTTTCAAGGGAGACCTGACTTTACCTTACGGATCAAATCATTTAAAAATTGTAATTACTTTCAGTGTTTCCCCTAGGATGGAGTCATAGCAGCGGTGCTAAGGCACGTGGGGCCAGTATAATGTGAGCGCGGAGCGCGTGGAATTTTTTTGTGTGTGCGCGTGCGAAGTGCGCCCCACCAATTTGTTTCTATGTGTCTGCCAGCACAAGAAAGGCTCTTGAGGCCTAGTACCAGGGCCGGTTCGAGACAATTTGCTTTCCTAGGCGAGATTTTATATATAAAGAATAAATGAAAAATCTCTACAAAAGACAAATACACTACAGATGCTTATTGACGTAGGTAATAGACGTCAAAATGGATTCAAATGTATTCAGTATTGTATGAACATGTTTTAATTGGGGGGGTGGACCAGAGTCCTGCATCGGGTCGGGTACCCGCGGTGACCCGCAAAAAAGGTGATTCGCGGGTGGTAAATAAATTAGTTTAATGTTTAAATCCTCAGACCTCTCCCCCGCGGGACCGCGCATAATCATAACCTCTGCAGCGCATCAATCTGCTGCAGTGCGCGCCACATTCGAAATGGCTGAGGTGAAGCTCTCTAGCGGAGAATACAGCATTTTCAATAACACTTCCTCAAGAGCGAAATCCAACGTCTGGGAGGCTTTTGGTTCCTAGATGGAGCAAATAACCAACATCCCACGCTTTTTGAGACAAATATGCAACTGCGTGTGTTAATAATTGCACGTTTTCACTGCTCATAGGCTATGCGGGTTCGGGTCGGGTTGCGGATCTTGTGCCGACGGGTCGGGTCGGGTTGCGGAACTAATTGGCAATATGTGCGGGTAGCGGGGCGGGTTCGGTATTGCACGTCGCGGGTGCGGGGCGGGAGCGGGTCTTGAAAATCAGACCCGTGCAGGACTCTGGGGTGGACGTCACAACCTCTAGGGGGGGTCCGGGGGTCAGCCCCCCCGGGAAGATTCTTTTGAACATTTTAAAGTAAAATGCTTCAATCTGGTGCACTTTGAGCACACAATTACTAGAGACCTGATCTAGGGGGTACAACTCTAAAACACCCATATGAGAAAGATCGGTTTACATTTTAATAATCAAATAAGTATATGAACATAACCAATAACCTACCGTAGCCAATAACAAATAAATGTAACTTATTTTATTTGTGTTGTTCATTTATATCTTATTTTACCAGTTAACATTTATTTATTAAATGCATATTTTTGTATCTCTCCAACTTTAAACAATATTTTTGGTTTACTGTCCTATAGTATACATTGGAATGATTTCAAACCTGTTTTTATTTATCCTAATAAATATAAAGGAGTGCCTTGGAAATATGTGTTTACTGATAAGCCAACATCCCCCACTTTCATCACTTGCAGCACCCATCGTACAGGGCAAATGAAAAGTGTAACTGGGGTGAAAAGGGTGTTACTTAATTATGAATGTTGTTACATCAAGGCCGAAAATTAGGATGAGCACCAACGGTCAAAAATGTTTTTTCCCCTCCCAGAGCTGTCAGCACAGCACCCCCCAGATCTGGCCCTACCTAGTACATACAGTGGCAATGTCTCAAGATTTAGCAAAAATACACCTTTATTGAACATACAGTAACACAAATACTACAAATCCACATAACAAACAATCAAAAATTAAAAAGGGTCGCCACTTATTATTATTTTACTTTAAAAAAAGTTAAAAAAATATATTAGCAGCGGCGCGCATATTTCAGCAGCGGCGCTGCGTCGCCACTATTTGTATATAGGGGAAACACTGACTTTAGTACACCATGTTCTGTGCAGGCTGTCCCACCATGAGATACAAATAAATAAGTCAGGCCTTCTGCAATTATCTTTTTTTTTACCACAATGATGTTTGAAATAATGACACAAGAAGAGACCATACCCATTCATTTTGGGAATTATAATTATAGATTACAGATTTGATATCCAATTCTGTAATGTCAATTACACCAAAGAACAGAAGTGATAAATAATCATGACCTCAATATTGATCACAATAATCAAAGTTATTATTTTGTCCATAATCGTACAGACATATTTGAATACAGTTAGTTCACATTAGTTTTTTACGTTTGCTAGCAAGATTTCAAGAAAAAGGTAATTGTAAATGGCTCTTTGAAAAGTGATGGAAGCCCTGTCTATAATGAGGTCAAAACAACTAAAGTGCTCCAACACAGGTCAAATAGAAAGAAACCATGCATACCATTGTGTTTTCTATGACCTACAGACACCTCAAGGAGCGCACACAGAGAATGTTTGGAAAATGGGAGATGGCGACGGAGGGAGAATTCCTCCGAGCCCTGGAGGGATGAGTCAAATTGTAAGGAGGACACATACTTCAAAGACAAGGTGAGGAAGTAAAATACAAAGTGTCTGCTCCCTCCAAGTATAGCAAATGATAGCTTAAAATGCTGAAGAGGTGTTGTTATTCTCTCCATATGTCTGTGTGTGTGTGTGTGTGTGTGTGTGTGTGTGTGTGTGTGTGTGTGTGTGTGTGTGTGTGTGTGTGTGTGTGTGTGTGTGTGTGTGTGTGTGTGTGTGGTGTGTGTGTGTGTGTGTGTGTGTGTGTGTGTGTGTGTGTGTGTGTGTGTGTGTGTGTGTGTGTGTGTGTGTGTGTGTGTGTGTGTGTGTGTGTGTGTGTGTGTGTGTGTGTGTGTGTGTGTGTGTGTGTGTGTGTGTGTGTCCAGGAGGAAGAAATGCTTCGGCACACAGCCCTCAGGCTCATCTCTGTGATTGGCTACTCCCTGTCCCTGTCCTCTCTCACCCTGGCGACTCTCCTGATGGGCGTGCTGAGGTCAGTGCTCGGGACTAGAGGGGTTATGAATGAATGATATATTTTAGCCCCTAGGGGAATTTGCTTATAAGAATATCAAACATCCACAACCAACATTGACAGAACACATAATATAATAATGCCTAATATAACAAAAAAACAAGGACATCATAAAAATATCATCAAAGCGACAAATGCGTTTGAATGGGTGAATGCTGACTTGTATATGTAAAAGCCCTTTGAAGGATTTAAAGGTAGTAAGAAATCTATGCAAATACAGTCTTTTAACCATTACTAAAAGAACAGGCACCCATTTTTTAAAACCTTACCCCAACAAGCGTCTTAGTGTAAAGTTGACTGATACAGGCATACTAGAGCCAAAACGCATGACACTGAAACAGGCAGAATGTTCAGGAAGTTCAAAGTACTTTGTCAGGTACAGGTAGGTTCAAACACGGGAGATCAATCAATCCAACAAGCAAACATGTCCAAGAAGGACCAGGCAGAATAATAGGGACAGGCAGGGTCAAAAACAGGCAGAGTAGATAAACAGACTAAGAACAAATGAACGCTGGAGAGTTTAGACAATATGGCATGGAACAAGTGAAAGTGAACTAGTATATATGCTGTGGGGTTGATGGAGGAATGATTTGCAGGTGAGGAGATGGGCTTGGGGAAACCATGTTAGGGGAATGCGTTGATTTTAAGGCCAATAAGGAGGCATGATGTGAAATGACAGGAGAGTTCATTATAAGCCAAACAAGATAAACAAACTAAAGGTGTGGGGACACTTAGTGCTATCAGTCATCAGAAACTCCACAAGAAAGATTTAACAGTTCAAAACAATACATTTTTAATATATAAAATGTGGTAAAGGCAAGTCCTGATAAACAATAAATAAGACATGGGTTATATCCACTAGCTTTAACATACTGATGAAATGCACAATGATAACCCACTAGAAAGGGTGGCACAGAGATATGAGAATAATCAATCCTTATAAATTACATTATAATAAGCAGGAAGCATTTCTATGAAATATGCCCTCAGTAATTCTGTTACAGCATAGGGAGTATGGATAAATGCATTCCTCAAATTGCTACTGTATCTGCTTACCAGGAAGCTCCACTGTACCAGGAACTACATTCACATGAATCTGTTTGTGTCATTCATCCTGAGAGCCATGGCTGTCATCTCTAAGGAAATCACATTATACATCATGTATTCCAAGCTACCCAAGGACGACCCCGGGTGGAACTCCTACTCAAGCTCTGCGGTATTAAAAGCACTGCCTTATTATTCATATATTAGCAGATACTTCAATTGTAGCTGTAGCCAATATTTACAGTAAAGAATGAACAAACCAAAGCAGTTTGAATCAGTAAAACTATTTTGAACACTAATCTATAATATTTCTCAACAGATAGCATTGATGTGTAAGTTCTCCAAAGTGTGCATGGAATACTTTGTGGCCTGTAACTACTTCTGGCTGCTGGTGGAGGCCATTTTCCTCCACACACTCCTCTTTACAGCTGTACTGACCAAGAGACGTCTCTTGAAGAATTACATGCTGCTAGGATGGGGTAAACCATGAATGACTTGTTTTCATCATTTTGTTTTAGTCTATTATGTGTACCTGCATCTGGGTGTGTTTCTGTGAGTATGTGTGTGTAGAAAGGTGTGTAAGTAAAGTAACCCAACCTACAAAAAAAAACAGATAGTGTGGACCTCACATAACTAAAAACCTGAAATGGACCAAGGAAGCTCTTTCTAGTCCGGTCAGTGTCCTCCACTTTGTTTGATTGATATTTTTTGATGTGATATCTTTGTTAACGTCCACTCCAGGATACCAGCTGAGGTTTTAAAAGTCTTTACAAGCTTAAGAAAGGGGGGTCCCCAAAATGTCTGTTATGGCCGGGTACCCCCACAACACCACAAAGACAAGGATATGTGTGTTTGTTTTAAATTAAACGTTATGCATCTTTTGCATTTGTAACTTTTCAGGAACACCTATTTTGTTCGTAACACCATGGACCGTTGTCAAGATTATTTATGAAAACACAGAGTGAGTGTTTCATTACCCATCATCACAATTATCACAATACATTTACAAAATGCATGAATTAAAATGCTCTTCATTACTTGACTTGTTAAACTTCTTTTATTTTTGTATTCCCAAGATGCTGGTCAATTGTGAACAGATGGTTCTGGTGGATAATAAAGGGACCAATTACATTATCAGTACTGGTAAGTGTTAGAAACAATCCTTGATTTGCTTTTTCTAAGAAACAGAGTACATTATGTTCTCATTAGTTACACATCCATCATGTTGTTCCTGTGAGTTCCTTTTTGTGCCAGCTATTAAGTAAATGTCACTCTAATTTCACACTGCATTTAATGCTTCCTGTCTTGTGAGGGCACGTGATATAGAAGCTGTTGTAATGTCAAGCATGACTGATTACTAATTTATTGGAGTTACACATTCACATTCACATTGAGCGACTACATTTTTTAGTCTTGTAAGTAGTTTTGTCACATGTATTTAATGTAAATCTACCCTGGATGTGTGTTGCAGGTAATTTTTTTCATATTCATCAAGATTCTGATGCTGTTGCTGTCCAAGCTGAAAGCAGATCTGGTGAAATTTACAGACTACAGATACAGGTAATTGTCCCAGCCTTGCTCTATTTCCTAAACGGTGTCTTTAAACCTTACATTAGGTTGTTTCCTGGTTATAATGTCAATTAATGCCATGTACTGTACTGCAAAGTTCAACTGTCACGCCTTTATACTCTGGCCTCATTTCACATGCAAAAAGAGAGAAGGGCTAATGGATAATTTTACAAAGCTTTACATTGTTTTCCATTGTATCCTTTGCTCTTTGAATCATGTGCCACATTTTATGAACATTATCCATGTAATGTATGTGTCCTAAACCATTTTAGTCTATGTAATCTTTTATTGCACTATTATATGTTAAGTTTATCTTATTATATTGTATCATGTCGTATCATATCGTATCATATTGTATCATGTGTTTATGGTTCAGGCTAGTTATTTTAAATGTTTAACAGATCCTATTAAGTCTGTTTTATCTTTTGTTATTAATTGTTATGCTATTTTTATCTCATCATACTGTTGTGTCCTTTATGCTTATCTGTCTGTACCATGTCTGTACTACATTTAAAAAAGTTGGAGGAGACGCAAGATCTTCATTGCCAAAAGTACACTATAGCTATTCTGCATATGACAGATAATGTCCTTGAATCCTTTGGACAATCTATTCTCATACGCACCGTAATATGCATATTTGTGTTCATTCCCTTCAGCTTGGCCAGAGCAACACTGGTACTTATTCCTCTGCTGGGGATCCATGAGGTGGTCTTCACTTTGCTGATAGACGAATGTGTTGAGGGCAGAAGTCGTTACGCCAGGAACTTCATCAACCTCACCCTCAGCTCCTTTCAGGTAACACCTGTGAAGTTGATTACATACATGACATAATAGGTTGTTCTCAATTTACATTTATTTGTTATTTTTGACCTTTTTCAGGGTTTTCTGGTTGCTGTGCTGTACTGTTTTGCTAATGGAGAGGTACATGTCTTCTGTATGTATAGTGATGTTTCATGTCAATTCATTTCTTGTTAGTTTGAGACTTTAAAGCTGCATCAACTAGTACTTTCAATATTAGAAATGGTACAATTGACTTTGTGTTAGTGAAGCTAACTCATTCTTCAGAGTTAGAGACTATAGCTAGTGAGCTTATTTGGTGGCTTAAGAGTCTGATGTTCAGCAAAAAAAGTTTTAATTAAACCAATGAATGCCACCTGCCAAGCACCAAACTAAAGTAGTTAGCATTTAGCAGATTTCAGATTTTAGCCAAGAGTTTGAAAAAATTGTGGACTTCATTGATTATGTCAAGATGTATCCCTTTTCTTTATTCTGGCATTTAGGTCCAAGCTGAACTGAAGAAGCGCTGGCAGCTTTTCCTTTTCACCAACCACTTCCAGGTCAGGAGCTGTTTCCAGAGTGTGCCACTTAAGCACCTTTGGAAATGCACTCGAGGGCGCCGCCCACAAGGCTCGCGACAGAGCGACTCCTACGACGACGGCGGCACCTCCACAACCCATCCACACATGCTCCAGGTGGCTGTGAAAGGAAGAGGTGGGAGGCATGGACCTGGAGAGGTTCACGGTCTGGGGCTGATGGGCTGTGACGCAACAGGACTGGACTTTCTGACCCTCACCAGGAAAAGCCTGTCCAGTAGTGAAGGAGAGATGACGCATGGGGAGACCATGGAGGAGATTCTGGAGGAAAGTGAGTTCTGATCCCCTTTAGTGTGTTGGTTGCTACCTGACATGGACAGGTTACGGATAAACACCTGATAAACAGTGAGAAAAAAGTATTTTTTTCAAATCTTCCAAAAATAGACTACTCACAGAGTAACGGTGGCAACTACCCCAAAGCCTGAGGTTTATTTTATGTGTTAGTTTGTTTGTTGTAATTTGATTTATTGCAACTTAGTTGTGGAAGTCAATATAAGTGCTTGTATCTATACGCCTAACATAAACCAAGTAGGGTCTTTTAGGCATGTCCTTTAGATTCAATCTGTGTTCAAATGTAGACCTTCAATAATTCTTTACATTATTACATGTATATATTCCAAATAAAATGGCCCCTTATAATCGACACAAATAGTCGTGTTGGTTTCACCAGAAAGTCCTTGTTAAATAGGTGGTGATTTAGTACATGGTTACTACTAATGCAATCCTTTGACATGTTGTTATTGGATTGAACCATTGTATTTCTCATTTCATCTGAGGATCATCTCCTGGCTTACTCATTAGCTTAGTCGCTAATGGGACATATCACATTAGCATTGTAGTTATTTGAGAAATGCATTGTACCATCCGAGGCACAAATGTTTGTTTCAAAGTGTATCAATTTTATGCAAAACATTATATCTCCTCAGCAAATTCACTGATTCATTTGACTGTTCATTTGACTGTTTTATCATAAGCTGCCATTAGTAATAAATGAGTTGGCCTCTGTGAAAATACTGAAGTTGCCATGAGCAGTTTACTTTGCACGCTATACTTAAAGGCCCTATAAAGTGATATTAAGACTTTCTTTATATATTTCCTGTTTTGAACATGACTTGAGATACAATTTTGGGCATAAGTGTTTGATTTAGGACGGGCAGGAAGATTCGAAAAATTGTGATTGTTGAAGAATTTGTGATTACTTTATAAATGGGATTGTTAGTTAGGTACACCCACTAGCAGCATGTCAATGTGAATGCCGTATTTGTACATACAGTAAACCTCATAGTATACAAATACAAAAGCAGTGTTAAGCCATTTTTAAACAGATTTGTGTTGTAATTATCATGTTATCTCTTACTATGTCAGGTCATTTATAAATATCCATATGACACAACGTCTGGATTGAAATTTGCATATAAATACAATGTATTTGTTGTCTGAATGTGAATAATGCAGATAATGCAGAGGCTCTATGTGCAGCACGTTTTACAGTTTTCTATTCTTATGAAGCTTAAAATGTATTAAAGGAATGTATGTACACAAATTAAACAACAGTTAAATGTTACTATTGTCTTTTATTGTTATTGTGATTGTTATAATTTCCCCATGCTCTTTATTGACCTACCGATAATACACTTTTTGTATAACACCCACTGGCCAGATTAAATGACATTGAAAAAACATGTTGGTTGCTCCTCAACAATAACGGGAAGTTATACATTCAAATGGATCTCTTGAGTTCATTTGAATCTTAATAGTATTTAGCAAAATAGCCCTACATTTTCCACCTGGATCAAAATTATTTTATTTTTATTTTGACTGTCTTGATAGGCTGCAATTTCTACTGTTCCCCATCCATCCTTTTACTGCCCTTTTCATCTTCTTTTTCAGAATGACTCTTGTAAATGTCCAGACCTTTTAAAGTACTGCACATTGCAGCAACAATCAGTGAACGAGAGTATTGCAGAGACTTTGCTTGGTGTTATTTGACCAACCATGTTAAAGAATTCAAAAATCTGTGATTAGATGTCTTATTTAATCAGGCATCATAGATTGCACATCATGGGTTTTGTGCAGTATCATTGCTTAAAACCACTGTTATAGCATAATAAAAAAGGATACAAACGGTCTACAGTATATGACACATATTTTGCTAACCCCCTAATCCTAATATAGGCAACGGTTTAAAAACATCTTTACCCGGCTTTGTAGAGTTAGATACCGTACCACTTGGAGCGTCTCTTTTTGTGTTTTGTAATTTGAGTAAACTGACCCTACAGTTGTAATAATAATCCTCATTATCATCCTTGGTAAATTACTCCAAATGTCTTTACCATCGCATTTCAATCACAAAATACCTGGGATTTTTTTTAAATCAGTAACCTAATCTAAGTATCACAATACATAAGTAAAGTCCGGTACTCTTGGATTACATCAATTGTATTACTTGAATTAAAAGCATACACAACATTTAGTTTTTTTTAACAAGAGGCATTAATGATGAACTAAGATTAGCCATGGTTTCACTAGAACTTAAGTTTTCATATGCTTTGTAATATATAGATTTGTATTATGAAATGTAATGTAACACAGAAATCCTGTTTTTAATCCCGCCCCTAAACTTGGTCTTTAAATATATTCTGTCACAGTACGTGTGATCCTGATGAGATATGGCTAAATTAACTCGTGACTCTCAAACTGTCATGTGACCTTAACAACTGTCATGTGACCTTAACAAGATGTGAACAAGCCACCCTTATACCAGTCCTTTCTTTTATACATGTCAAAGATAAATGCTATCAGAAAACCTGTAAGAGGTTACGTTAAAACATTAACTCAAGTATTGTAGCGTACAATTAAGAGGTACTTTTACTTTTATTGTCTTGCTATTCATACTGTACTCCCTTTAAGATAGAATATTACACACTTGGCTCTACTACATTTATTTGACAGTAAAATTACATTTTCAAGTTTTACTAACAAAAAACAAGATAATCAGAAGAATATGAAGCATTTTTCTAGATTCAACTATCCAGCAGGACACAAATGAAAAAAAGCTTGACTTAATTAAGCAACAGTTTTACAATCATGCATCATTCATTACAATAATCTGACTACTACTATAACACATTTTTTAACTAAAGGGTACTTGTTGCTACTTATACCATATTATTTGGAATAATTGTATATTTTATAGTTCGACCAATTCTGAAGCATCTACAGTACAATTTGTTTATACTGTATATCAGGGGTGTCCAAACTCTTTTCACCGAGGGCCACATACAGAAAAATATACAAAGGGCTGGGCCACTTAAAGAGGTATATTGCCTCGTAAGTTACTGTAAGTTATAGGTTAGCAACATGTAGATAAATTAGGCTTGATACATGACTATGCTTGTAAAATAAAAACAGCTTACATCACAGCTCTCTTTCATGTATCTTGTTGGCAACTCACCCCTTAAAACAGAAGCTTCTGTGATTATAATAAGGGGAAATATGAAGGGTCTATTTCCAGCTTGTTATGGAAATAAGTTATTGGGCTTTTTTTATCAACTAAGATTTGTAAGAAAATGTTTTCAACATGAGTTGACTGAATTTATTTTAAAAGTGGGCTTATGCATACTACTGTGTAATATATTGGTACATATATATTTAAGTAGTACAATATAAGAAAAGCACAAGTTTTATTTGTGGGCCATATTTCATTATACTTTTTTAATTTGCTGAAGGCCGATTCAAAATGGCCCGCGGGCCGCATTTGGCCCCAGGGCCGTAGTTTGGACACCCCTGCTGTACATCAAAATGTTATTTAACAGTTTACAAGAATATATATTTTCTTGTTTTGATTAAAGCAAGGTTAATAATTAGGGAAATATGAAGATGGTACATAAGGATTTAATTGTCCAACAGTTGATTGAACAGTTTTTTTTTATTATTCACCTTGTTATACAAAGATTGAACGTTTGTGTTTTAAAGGTCCCATGTCATGCTTTTCTGGTTATTACCCGTCCCCTTGTGTGTTATGAAGGTTTTTATGCATCCCATCCCCACCGACTCATAAAGCTGGCAATGTCCTTGATCTCATATTCTCAAGGAACTGCGCTACTTCTAACCTCTCTGTAAACCCGCTCCACACATCCGATCACTTCTTCATTTCATTCTCTCTACCCCTTTCCAAACATAACAAACTAATCTCTTCTCATCCTGCACTTGTCCGCCGTAACCTTTGTTCCCTCTCCCCCTCTACCTTTGCCTCATCGGTGCTCTCAGCCCTCCCTTCCTCTGACTCGTTCCAACTCCTGCCTTCAAACTCTGCTGCAGAAACTCTCCTCTCTACTCTCTCATCCACTCTGGACTCTCTCTGTCCTCTCACATCTCGGCAGGCTCGTCAGTCCCCTCCTGCTCCCTGGCTAAATGATGCACTGCGTGCTAATAGAACCGTCCTTAGGACAGCAGAGCGGAAACGGTGGAAATCCAAACACCGTGACGACCTCCTAACCTATCAGGCTCTCCTCTCCTCTTTGTCTGCTTCGATCTCTCAGGCAAAAAGCACTTTCTTTCAAGATAAGATCCAATCTTCCTATTCCAATCCTAAAAAACTATTTTCCATCTTCTCCACCCTCTTGGACCCTCCAAAAGCCCCTCCCCCCTCCTCACTTCTGTCAAGCGACTTTGTTACCCACTTTGAAAAAAAGGTTGATGATATTCGCTCTTCTTTTTCTGACTCACCTTTACTCACCGCTGGGTCACCAGACCCTCCTTCCACCAACACACTAACCTCCTTTCCCCCTCTCTCTCCAAGTGAGGTTCTTACCCTCATTACCTCTGCCCGCCCTACCACCTGTCCTCTGGACCCTATCCCTTCAAACCTCCTTCAGACTATCGCTCCTGATATTCTACCGTTTCTCACCCATTTCATCAACACTTCTCTAACTTCTGGTCACTTTCCAAACAGTCTCAAGGAGGCAAGAGTAAACCCTCTCCTAAAGAAACCCACTCTCAACCCGTCTGATGTTATAAACTACAGGCCTGTCTCTCTCCTCCCGTTCCTGTCTAAATCACTTGAACGCGCTGTCTTTAAACAACTCTCCTGTTATCTCCATCAGAATAACCTTCTGGATCCGCACCAGTCTGGTTTCAAGGCAGGTCACTCCACAGAAACTGCTCTCATTGCTGTCACGGAGGAACTGGACACTGCCAAAACTGCATCCCTCTCCTCTGTCATCATCCTGTTGGACCTGTCTGCTGCATTCGACACGGTGAATCATCAGATCCTCCTTCGCACTCTCCAAAAACTTGGAGTTTCAGGCTCTGCACTTTCCCTCCTCACCTCATATCTGAAAGACCGTACCTACAGGGTGACTTGGAGAGGGTCTGAGTCCGACCCTTGTCAATTAACTACAGGGGTCCCTCAGGGCTCTGTTCTTGGTCCCCTCCTCTTCTCCCTGTACACAAACTCACTCGGATCAGTCATTAGCCCGCATGGTTTTTCATACCACTGCTACGCTGACGACACCCAATTAATTCTGTCCTTTCCCCGCTCAGAGACCCAGGTCGTCGCACGCATCTCTGCTTGTCTAGCTGACATCTCTCAGTGGATGTCGGCTCATCACCTCAAGCTCAACCTTGACAAGACTGAGCTGCTCTTCCTTCCGGGAAAAGATTGTCCCACTCTTGACCTAACAATCAACATCGGCACCTCAGTTGTTTCCCCCGACTCAGACTGCAAGGAATCTGGGTGTGACCCTAGATAACAACCTGTCCTTCACTGCAAACATCGCTGCTACAACCCGTTGCTGCAGATACACGCTTTACAACATCAGGAAGATACGTCCCCAGCTGACACAGAAAGCAACGCAGGTTCTGGTCCAGGCTCTCGTCATCTCACGCCTAGACTACTGCAACTCCCTCCTGGCTGGTCTACCTGCATGTGCCATCCGACCTCTGCAGCTCATCCAGAATGCAGCGGCTCGTCTGGTCTTCAACCTTCCTAAATGTTCCCACACCACTCCGCTCCTCCGCTCCCTTCACTGGCTTCCGGTAACTGCTAGAATCCACTTCAAGACACTGGTACTTGCTTACCATGCTGCGAATGGATCTGGCCCTTCGTACATCCAGGACATGGTTAAACCGTACACCCCAGCGCGTGCACTACGCTCTGCATCAGCCAAACGACTCGCTGCGCCCTCGCTGCGAGGAGGACCCAAGTTCCCATCAGGCAAAAACACGTGGGTTTGCTGTCCTGGCTCCAAGATGGTGGAATGAGCTCCCCATTGACATCAGTACAGCAGATAGCTTGCACATCTTCCGGCGCAGATTGAAAACTCATCTCTTTCGACTAAACTTCGAGCGATAGAACTATTAACGAAGCACTTTTATACTAATAAAGGACTGGCTTATCTAAAGCCAGTTGAGTAGCACTTGAAATGTTTGGCTCTATGAAACCTAATGTACTTATATGAT